GGAGCGGGTCGCAGTCAGATACAACAGATTGGCGAATCAACAGATATAACAAGAACTATAGTCCAAAGTTTACCAACTCAGCTTGTGTTGGCATCACATCCCCTCTCTCTTCTTCCCATCCAATGTCCTTCTTTCTCTTCTTCCATTTCTTCAGGTGAATGTAGTGCAACAGATGACAAACTTCTACTGTCAACCGCTTCTGGCCGAACGACTTCGCAGTGGCTTACTTAACGTTCACGGACTATGGTTCCACATCCAATCCGGTCAACTTCACATGTTCAGTCGAGATCGACAGTCATTCGTCCCCGTCACGAGTGACACACTACCAGACCTCGTGAAAGAACTGGACTCTCCCTAGCAGGTTCTTTCTTTGTCCAAAAGAACCCGCCTTATGTTTTGCTCACAATATCACGCGAACGATCGATTCGGATGATTTCGAGAAGTTGCATAATTGACTTCCGTTGTTTTCATTGTTACATTTCTCTCGTTCTTTGTGCTACTCACTAGTCAGACTTGATGTTCGCCAGATTTTTTTGTGATTTACTAAGGTTTCGATAATCTTCTGTCGCCGCTCTGCTTTGAACTGCGCCGCTGTTTTCCGTTTTAGCTCTTTAGCCAAGTTAACAGCGTGGGTTCTTTTTCTGATTTTTTTTTCAAATTCAAATGATTTGATTTTGATTTTTTTCTAAGTTGATATTTTTTTACCCTTCTTAACCTGATTTTTATGCGTTTTCATTTTCGAATGCGGTTTATCACTGATTGTTGTTGCTAGTTGAAGATGTGGTAATCCATTTTTCTAGAATGTCTTGCTCTTCGATTGTGTGACTACTCGGGTGGAATTCAGCTGTCAACACTCAGGTTATTCGTTCTGGTTGGCGAGTCTCGAAAGGAAGTAGAGTAATTTCGGCAGCAGTAGAGTGAGTGCATCGTTGAACGGTCAGCGGCGTTAAATTGGCCCAGGTTATGATGCGTTTTCCCGTCCTCAGCTCACTATCGTTTTGTAAATTACGGTTCGGTGTAAAAGTGCGTCATCTCTGTTTCGTTGACCCGAGGACTGACTATCATTTCCAGGCGAAACTCAAATGGAACATCCTTCCGAGAACTACCAGGAGATCCTCTTGTCTTAATCAACCGTTGGGTACGAAGCGGGCAGAATATGCAGGGCATCAAAATCAGATGAACAGGCATTGACTAGCTGTTTGTTCACAAAAACGAACGAAAGGGAGATCCAAAGAAGAACGCGGCAAGTCATGTCCACCGCTCGTTAAGATGTCATTGTGAGGTGCGAATTTACTTGCCTTGGGCCTCGGGACGTTCGGACTGGAACTGGTTTGGTTTCTTATCGGTGCGTCCTCCGGGGAGACGCCTTAACATAGTGTTGTGGACGACAGTAACTTAATGCTTTCTTATTATCGTGCACCCCGGTCTGGATAGCCGCTTGATCACCTGGTGCGCTTGACCAAACTAGAAAAGTCAATGAACGTGCGGGCCAGCTGATCTATTGATCACTGTCGCGTACAAGCGGGTTAAAAAAGTGGTACTAAGAATACAACTCATCTATCAAGGGCGAGTGAAGAACAACCAATGAAATCTGTCTCAACGAAAAACGGTTATTCCATTGGCTGTAATGTAGTCCCGTTACCTTCGGAGCTGGTTCTCCTAACGCATAGAAAGGTTCAGAAGCGTTGCCCCTATTTAGTATGGATACGCTTCGGATTCTGGCAGCTTGGTACAGACAAGTGATAAGGGGCATTCTGGGCTGGTGTGTTTAACTTGAAACCCAGGTCAGGGATAATAGTTGCTTTTGTGGTCACTACATTGTCTTGCCTGTGTAGTGCGGCGCGTTTGATATCAAGGTGATAAGGAGCTCAGGATTTCACCTGCGGGGGCTTGTCCACTCAGTTCGCGCGGATTTCTCAGTCATTCCTCTGAATTAACTTCTACAAACCTGCCGGAATGATACAAGCACATTCCCGCATATGAAGCTTTTGGCGAAGATGAAACTATCTGGATGACTTTTCCCATCTTCAAACTACTGGAGTGAAGCAGTACTCCCTCGGGGGCGTCTGTTTTTAGAGAGGGCATTGGGGCTTCTTTTGAGGGTCCCTATAGCCCCCCATCCATTTGGCTCACGGATTAAGTTGGCGGAGCAGATTTTGTGACCACCCAACTCAGATGAGAAGAAAAACTCATCAGTCCAGCTTGTTTGACGTTCGACGCGACGTGGATTTGTTCCCTAAGTTGTTTCTTACGTGTTCAAAGCATAACCACCAAAGAGTTCTCTTATGGCATTGTGCACCAAAACGGAGTCGAAAAGTTGGTGAGCGATTTCACTGGATATCCTGTTTCTTCCTCAGTATACTTCGTATTTATCCGCGAATCCGGATAACGGCACATTATGGGTATTCTTCGTTTGCGACCAGGCACCAATTTCACAACTACCCGATGACGAATTTATTCGAGAACTCTTACCTCTGGTGCTTGAGGTCTCACGACCGTTGAGTAATGCGATTTGTTAAATATACTACTTATGAGGAGTTGATTCCATGTGCGAGACTGCTACGGCGTCCAAACGCGAGAGGTCGCTTTGCAGTGTTTTGAATCCCGTAGAACTCCGAGCATTACTGACGTGGAAAGATGCCTGCTAGTTTGGTGAATAGAAGAATTATCATTTGGGGCTCAGCAAGAAGCACCAGACAAACATGCAATGGTCACTGAACGTGGAAGAGATACTTCAATACAATGGAAAATTGGATGTGCCTACCTGATGAGCCTCATGAAGGGCGAAACCGGTCGTAGGCTGTCGACGGATTTTCAGCAACCTTATGAGTAGTACATTACAAAATATACATGTATCGCGATATCTCGAATATCGTAGCCACTGAAACATGAGGCGGCCTGGTGCAGCACATTCAGTTCCCCGGAATCACCACAAACCGGAGATTCAGCTGGGTTCCAGGTGGGTCTCTCGAAAAACCAAATTAGTTTGCAAATGAGTGTATATTCGCTAATTTCGTGCAATTTGGTTTTAAGTGGAACATAAGATTGACGGAAACTCGGGGATTGCGCCTGCCTGATTAGCCCCAAGAAGAGCGACACCGGTCGTGGGCTGCCGACGAATCTTCAGCAACCTTATTAGTAGTGCATTACGAAATTGGATGCGTTTCGTGAAGCTGCAGTCCCGAGTTAGTATTGTAAAACAACTGCTGAAAATTCGTTGGGGGATGAGTGCTTACCATTGCCTCCCCACAGCGTTTTTCCCAGTTTTTCATGGGTTACTACTCATCCAAGACCAATTGACTCAAGAAACCGTGTTTGAGCAATTTACGTCTCTGAGATGGCCGTTTAGAAAGAGCAACGGCGACTGTCATCTCCGGATTAAAAAACTACGACAGTCGGGATGGAGAGTTTCATAAGATAGCTTGCACGTGCTATGGCTTTCAACGAGACTACACCTCACCAAAAATGCACTCTAGGGATAAAATATTCGCTTTTGTTTAGAGCTGGGTTGTGGATTCGTACGGAGTTTTGGACCAAGATCTGATCTTGCAATCTAACAGGAAGTTTAGTGACTTTTACGCCAGGCGTTGGTCCTGATGGTGTACCTGATCGGGTGCAGCATGTATATTACTCCATTTTTTCAAATCCAGCTACTGTGCTCTTTCAAACACCCAGCTGAACGTCGAAGCTCACATCAAATCGGTACGGTAAATGGTCACCGACGTCAAATGTAACAGTCTTGTCTGTCAGCATCAGCTCAAACCCTAGAAACCCCGTCCAAGTCCGGTGGTAGACCGTACCTGAAAGCTGAAAGAATGAAAGACCACTTGAGCGCTGAAATCAGAAAGATGACACATCAGACATTACAGCTGTTTAGTGTGTTAATCGGGGTTTCTCTAAGGCTGATCTCAGTTCACACCATTGATTGGGGGATGAAGGGAAATGACTGTTGATAGATAACATGAAGGTGGGTATCTTGCTCCAAACCATATTGTTTCGGGCCGTTGTTGCCATGTGACTCTAGCTGAAGCAGTGAATTTGAATGGCACGATGCTAAACAGTTGAAGGACACACAAAGTCCTCTTTGGTGAGTCTCAGTTTTTGACTTCTGCTGTAGGTATTAGTACACCCAAAAGTGGGACTTGATTAAGTCAGGGCTGCTGGATCCTACTTGACAATAAACGCGATATAACCGGGGACCGCTTCATCGGATTTCTGGAAAATTGTGCTTATATTCTGTCTGAGTGCGAGTTAATCACACTGTTGGGACGCCGCTCATGACCGGTTAAGTGTTCAATCCACTAGTCGGCAGCATAGGCATTGCTGGTGATTCCTAAAAAGATTGAACCGGCCATACAGTGCTTCTCGACTGTTCGTTATAGACTGACTTCAATTACAGGACGAAATCTCCGCGGGACCCCGGAAGAATGCCCACCACCCACGGGGCTTAGTAAAATCAACCACAAACGTATCACGTCAAAAACTCGGACCACACCTGAGGCGACGTTCAAAGTTATCTATTCAAACTGGATAATTGATTTAAACCAAAGCATCTATACTGTAATAGGCCTCCTGTAAGAAATTCATCTGTATCACGATCTACACAGCAATGGATAATTTTGTCAATTGTCAAGAGGTTTTATGGAGGAAGATGTCTTTACTTTCACAGTTGCGGAAGAATCGGATATCTGTACTAAAGACGCACTTAAGCGAGGATAGAAAATAGCCAAGGGGTCGTCGGAATAGATGGATGTTCGGACGTGTAAACATTTGGTTGCCAGGCCGCGAAAACTGGTTCAACGATTTGCTCACCTAACTGTGTGGTTATGAGGATAGCTCGTTTCGTTGTAGTTATGTGGCTGTCTTAAGCCGTAAACAGGCATGAGTATAAGCAGTTAAATGACCGCTCATCAACTACCTGAAAACCGTTTTCCACGGTTATCTAACCGTAAAATTTCGCTAACAGATAGTTGAATAAGCGTTGAGTAACTGAGTTATGAAGAACTAAGTTAAGACTTTGTAATGTACTACTCATAAGGTTGCTGAAAATCCGTCGACAGCCTACGACCGGTTTCGCCCTTTTTGGGGCTCATCAGGGAGACACAGTTCCCGGGCTGTCGACAGATTTTCAGTAACCTTATGAGTAGTACATTACAAAGTCTTAACTTAGTTCTTCATAACTCAGTTACTC